TTCATGCATATTCGCAAGCACACATTTTTATCCATGGATGTATCATGGCTTTTTTTACTCCTTGCTCTAAATGTAGAAAAGAGTGTAAGAAGAGAGCACAAGCTTCAGGATTTTCTCCTAATATATCAAAGGCTCTCATATTCAAACAGATTAGTCAGTTAGGCTAATCAGAAACTAAACCAGCTAGATCGGTTTGAAGGGCTTCTTTTTGTTTTTAACAAAAACATCTTAATCTGAATATCATATTTAGTCTCTGCGAGCCACAACAAGAGCTCCAACAAAACATATCATGTGTTTTTGCAAGCTATTAAAAAATTGTGGTCTGGACCCATCCTGTTGTTCAGCAGGATCATCTTCAGTTGCAATAGTAAAAGTTGTAATGGTGTGGGACTGAAGTGCATGTTCTAGCAGTTTCCAACAGAATTCAAATCCATTCTGGCCATGGAAGGTGATGAAGGTCTGTCTAATGCTTCTCAAGACAGCTGCACATTGCTTGCCACTAAGAATCTAATTTCTAACAAAGGTACAGGTACCTTTACCGAATATTGACTCAAGGGGGATGAATACAGTCAGTTTTCAGTTTTATATTTATGATATGAGAGGATGTGTATATTTATGTTGTCACTTTTACATTATACAGTGTTTTTTGTTGATCAAAGGCAAACAAAAACAATTAAATACATTATGATTCCATATTGTAACACAATTAAATGTGAAAAAGTCCAAATGGCTGAATACTTTTGATAGTCACAGTATTCAACGTAATATTTGGCCAGTACTAAACGTACTTAAGACGTATTCATTTTTATCTTTGCAGTTTTATTTTTAGATTACTCCTCAGCAGATGGTTCCTTTTATTCTTTTTCCACTGATTAATTCTTTATGACTTTCAAAAGATTTAATTAAAAATGCTCGAAGCCCTGGCAGCATATCTAGCTACAGAGCTTTAAGAATCATCTTCAGAATTCCCTTCCTTAGGATAAAGTTGAGATGTGAATCCAAGGTCTTCATAAAAACTTTCTCTACCTTCTCTTTATCCCAGTTTTAAGGTTGTTTTAATGATGTAGCTTTTATTTTGTATCCAAAAATATTCTCTCATGGCTTTGCTCTCAGCTGTTATCATGGAAGACGTCACTGTGAACAGGGGCAAGTGGTCTGTGCTAATTTTAGAAAAAAACTCCCCCCAGTGGGATGTAGTGAATAACATTGCAGTAGAGGAACACAGCTGAAGCTGTAATTTTCTATGCAGCTGGGACCTACTTCAATAATATATAATTTGTCTATGCACAACCTTCTCATGTCTCACTCATTCTGAATTTACTCTGCTTTCCGTAAGGAGCAATGTCTGGGAGGAAAACACTGAGATTGTCAAGCTTTCATTATCGATGCTGTCAGATTAGAAGTTATCATGAGTCCAACATCAGGTGTACATCTTATCTCTGTACTGACATTGTTTAGGTCAGCCGTTGTGATTTTAGGCACTGGAAGAGAACATTTTCTAGCAAAAGGGCTTTTCATTTTTTGAATATGTTATTAATCCATCAGGTTGGCTGCTACCACATCAAAGAAAGATTGCTCACTTCTCGTGTTCAGTTGCCCACACCGTAAGGTACTGTACATCGCACACAGAAAAAGGAACATGAAACCCGGAACATGAAAGATTTAAAGGATATTTGAGACTGTGAATCAATGAAATTCTCCTGAGAGAAGCTGACAAACTGAGAAAAAAAAATAATAAAAAAAACCTGACAAAAATTACTTCCAGATCCATGAAAAAAATTTGAGCAGGGGACAAGATCGGATTTTTAGATGTATGGAAACGACACAGCTTTGGTCAATAGTGTGACAGGAGTTAAGAAAAGGTTCCGTAACCACAGTTTCAAAGCTGATTAATTGGGATAATTTGAGAAGCATTAAGTCCTTCCTTGAATCTCAGAGCTTCTGTCTGCCAGGTGAATACTGTAGATTGAATGACTCCTTGTTGTTTATATTTTTTATTTCTTTACTGTATTTCAGTTTCCCTGTCAGATTTACTTTCAGTTCAAAAATATGATGTAAAACGCACATTTTTGGCCACATAGCATTACATTCTGGCTTGTTTTTGGAAAGTGTTTATTTCTGCACAGTTGTGCTCTGTGTTGTCGTTACAAATACACTACTGTACTTGCAAGAACCGTAGTGAGGAAATCAAGAAATGAAAATAAAAATAAGTAGGCAAACCTACTGTAATACCAATAGAGGAAAACAATCAGGGCGGGCGTAGCCTTGGGGTTAATTGGGGCTAATTTCCCATACTGAAAACAATGAAAATGTTCCTTGAACTGTAAGTTTGATGTATATAATGATGTTAAAAAAAGAAGCTAGTGTCATATGACATTTAAACGGAAGATTACACAAAACTTTGAATTGCTTGTTAAACTGCAAATTTCAAATTCATCACTTGATGGCAGCATTTACTGTATGTCAGAGATGCTTCTTCTTTGTTGTACGGTGTACAGTAGGTCTGTTTAGAATAGAAAGAGGATTTAAATTGCATACAAACTCAGAAATCAATATTTGGGTTAAATAATTCATAAGCTTGAAATGAGCAAAACATTTTAATTAATTAGGTTTTTTTTTGCCTGGTATTAGGCATGTAAATATTTTATTCCATCCTCATAATCCAAGCTTTATGTGATTACTAGTTTTATTCAGGATAGTGTTTTTTTAGCTAAAAAGTACCTAGGGTGCACATACATGGTAATCAGGAAGTGGAATATTTTAGAATACTTTTATGTTAATCTTTTATTCATTTCATTAATATAAACAATGGCAAATTGCTTAATACAAATTTAAGTTTGTATTAAAAGGCAGACCACAGATATTGACTTTGTATTTGTAATTTTATGATTGTTTTTGTTCTTTTTTTCCCACTTTAGGGGATGTCACATTTAATTCAAATGAACATCCAGTGGAGCATATTACTTATAGAACTTATAGAACATCTTTACTTATAATCCTGCAATGTTTTGTTTGTTATTTTATTATATTTACTGTTTGTTTCAAAATGAGGCAGAAGAAGCATAGCTTTAAATCTAAAATTACCAGCCCCCATCCCCAATATATGCACATGCACACAAATGATATTTTTATATACCAATATGATACATATTTCATAGCCTATATACATATATTTCAGATAATAATTGGGTGCAATTATGCATACAAATCTTCCTGATGTTTAGATTCTTGGAGTTGGATCACTGAATCTCACATAAAATTCCTAGTTTACTTGTTTTTTCCATTGAGGTTCAACAGCACCATCTAGTGATCACACCATAGTTTATCAAACCCTAGAAAATTCTTTCTGGGCTGAAATGATTTTTTTTTAATAGTTTTCAAAAGAAAATTGCTGACTAATACTAAAGTAGAGACTAATAGGCTTACATTTTAAACTGTATTTCCAAATGCATATATGTTTATGTTTATGTTTATGTTTATTGTTTATTGAAGTCTGCATTATTATTATCTCTGAATCACATAACAAGCAATAATGATTGGCAAGGTATGTGGAAAATGAAATGTGTGCAAGACTTTATGGTATTCATAGATCTGGTTTAATCTCACATACTGTAGATGTCAGTAGTTCTTATTCTGATTGCTATTCCTTGTACAAATACTAAGGCTGACAGTCCCAAATCATGGCAAGCATTCAAAGAATAATAAATTCAATATAATAAAAATATATAGTGTACTTTTCGCAGTATAGACTATTGAAATATTCAGGTCTCATTTACCTTTCACATTTCAACATGCTTAACATTTTTAGACTCGGCATTTGAAACATTGAAACATTTGAAACATTGTGAAATGTGGGGTGATCTGCAAGATTCTCCTGAAGTTCATTCTCCTGATGACCTTGAAAAATCGGTGCAGTAATCCTCATGGATGTATCTATTGCAGGAGCCTTGGAAATCCAGACAAGATTCTAACAATACGTCATCACCTAAACTGTGATGTATAATTCTGAGTCACGTGCTCAATTAGGTATCAAACAAGGTCTTTGCAGGTTTGCAGCTGATTTACAGAATAGATGATAATTTATTTGATCTCCAGGAGCTCCAGTCCAAAACTCCAACCACCCTGACTTCGCTTATCGAACTTGAGTATGCTCCAATATTTACTTTGACAGAAATGGATCTCCAGACAACATACCTGTATTAGTGAAGCATACAGCATATGAAGACTGGACTTAGACATAGTCAGGAGACCAGAAGTCTTCATCAGAAAGCACCAGATGAAGACACCCCAGTGCAAATTAAAATGATTAATCCAACCGTGAGGGATAGCCAATCAATGATGTGTTTCTAAGGATTTTGTATACTTACACGTTATAGAGCCTGTATGTGATATGCAGGAGGCTATAAACTAGCAAAAACAAAGTCCTTAACTTTACAGCCCAGTTCAGAGACGTAAAAACTCCCATTTTCATTATCCAGATGTATTTAATGTCAGATGAGATGCACTGAGTGTGTGATAGAACAGAAACATTTGACATCTACATCAACACTAGGTGCCTCCATATTTTTATTCATACAGTAAGTATGTATGTCTTCTGGGATCATTTTGTAGATCTAACGAAGTCTGAACATTTTTTAATTTTCCTGCACCGTGTTTTCAGATGCATTTCATTGTTTTTTATGGACATAAAACTTTGTTAGTTACATTCTTTTTTCCTATATTTACAGAGCACCACCCATAAAGCACCATGCTTAGCAATAATAAATAGGAGAAAATGAATAAATATTGGTATTTTATTTTTTTACTTTCATCAGACCATTGAATCAGAATTCGGTGAAACTCATCTGTTGTCAGAGCAATCTATGCTTTTATTAAACTAGAAGCAGATGATTGCTGAAGCAAGAGTAATACAACTTCATAAGAGAATTTAGCAACCAGGTTAAATTAAAAACATAATGTTATTGAAACGGCCCTCTCATTTTTGGATTATCTTTCTCCAGCTGTCCACTGTAACCTGAGTCAGAATGGAATAGACCACGCAATCTGTGCAGAGGATGTCAGTGTGCACCTTGAAGCAGAATCGAGAGAGAATGGAGTCAGAAATGAGGACAGCAGTCTGAGGCTTCTGGAGAAGAAAGGAAGTCCTAAACAACAGACTTCGGAAACAGATGGTGCTCGGGTAAGGAACTATCAAGAACTCCTACGTACATTTTCCAGTGTACATTGCATTATGAACTACGTACATACAGTATGTAATGTACTAAATATAAAAATCTTGAAAATATTAAGATACGGTAAATTAATTAAATACTTAATAGCCTCAGACTAATGTTTGCTCCCTACATGCTACTTGTGAATTTCTAATCTGCGGGTTTTATCTGGAGGTTTTCATAAGGGAAACTTGGAGCCCTCACCTTTTCTAAATATTTGAGGTCAATTTTTTGTTTCCAGGGCAGATACCATATGAATTTTGTGTTTCCAGGATGGATACAGTATGACTTTTCTGTTTCCAGCAGGGAGGATAAAATACAGACAACTGTGCTATAATATGCTTCATGCTCTTCTACAAAAACAGACCATAAATGTCCTTGTTTTTGCAGCACTTTGGGCTGGGCAGAAATGCACTATTAACACATATTATACGTTTCTCGGTTAATTCTTCCCTTTTTATACAAGTATCTGCAACACACAGGTTTTAATATAGAGGATATAACAGGATGTTACCTACTGTACACATGGATCCATATTTTAAGGCAGTGTGTCTTGTTTTTTTACCTCAGATCACTGCTTGAGGTCTCCCATTCAGGTATTGGTCAGACTCACACCTGCTGAGCTTCAGTGGGTTGTCAGTTGTGAGTTGCAGGGTGATATGGCTGCTGGCTTTAAAGCAGTACTGTCCACCAGTACAAAAGCAGCCTTAAGGTTTTCTCTTGCCTTAGGTGGGTGTCCAGAGGGTGTTTGAAAAAAAAATCCCATTTGACGTTAAACAACACTTATTTGCTTATTACCTCCTTCTACCTTAGCCTGCAGTATGGTTTTATAAATAGACTATTCCTCTGTACTTATGTCATTTTCACCATTCAAGAACAGCAAATTTAGTGCACTCATATCATTTTGCTGAAAGCGGATAAAAATAGTTCCAGCTGCTGGATGGTTCCTCTGTGTGATGACTCAGAAACCAAGGGGGATTAGAAACATTATATAAAGTGTTTGATTTTCACCACCGTGTCTGCACAGTTAGTAAATCTAATTTTAACTGCAGGCTTTTTTTATGCTCAGAGGATGCAGGTTTTTCCTTTTTTAATGATGTATGTCATGTTGCTAACAGAAATAACAAGGGAGCATAATTCAGTCCTTGACTGTTCGTGTTAAAAGGTTGCAGAACAAAGCAGAAGTATTAATTTTACAGTTAACTAGCAGCATTGCGACTGATATGATATGTGAAAAAGGAGGCCATGACTTGTTTCCCTGAGATGTGAGCTCATATGACAACAATACGACACTCAATGTACTCATAATTCAATTATGTCAATGTTTTTTTCTGGGAAAAACTTGGTATTTACAAAAAATCACCTTCCTTCTTTTCAGTGTTCACATGTAGAATAAACTGTAGGAATATGATTGCCCCCTTCTGTCAGAGAGAAGACTCATTTTCCTACTTTAAATAAATAATAGTGATGGCAATAGGAATTCACATAAAATGTAAAATGAATGTTCCTGTATTTCAGTTGACTAAAGCAAGCATATAAGCCCATGGCTTCACAGTCTGTGTGCAGCCATGGGGCTGTCCTTTATTCTTAAATTAAATTGTGCATCCAGAATCCTCCTCAGCTGTGATGTTTGTGCAGCCCAAAAACAGCAAAAAGCTTTCACCCTCCTTGGTTTAAATTTTGCATTAGCAATATTTTTCATTCATGGTCATGTTCTGTTGAATTAAACATATGGTAACACCAAAAGTACTCATGGTCTCCCCTCAGCAACCAGTATTTTACTAATAATCTATTAATAATCTGTTTTGTAATCTGCACTGGATCAATATCCAATAATAATCTGAGCTCAGAACTGCTGATGAAACAGCTTCCTTTCAACGTTGTCTCATTGCTTTAGCCCACATATGAGAATACAGTATGAGCTTTTAAAGGAGTTTTCATTTCCTCCAGCACACTAGCTCACCCTGTCTTTTCATAAGAACTCTGGTGGTGGACGCAGCAATGCTATTAAACCCTGGAGACAGCGATGAGCTCAGATCATGCTGTTTCCACCTGGCGTCCCTATGTGCGTGACTGGAGGCAAATCGGCCCCCCAGCCAATTTTCTCTTTCTGAAACCCGTGAATGCAGATGCCAATCTGATGCCCCTCATAGGCCCCCAGCCAAGATTACCACAGTGCTGAGGCTCAGAGTCAAAGAGATGACTGTCTGAGATGAAAGGCACTCCTGACAAATCGTGCAGGGATTTTACATTTTCAATTAGTATTGACTGTGCTTACCTATGCTCAAAATAGCAGATCTGTGCCATCCTGGGAAAGAATCACATCGGGGGGTGTTTAATTAGTAAATCCGGAGAATGCTCTGTGTTCAAGAGCAGAGAGTTTCAGTCACTGATCCGTATCAAAGGTGCAGTTTTCCATTCAGTCATCTCACTTCATTCCACTATTGCTATCCTGCCTCTTGTTTTCCTGTCTCCTTTGACACAACCTGCTTGCCTCCCCACTGACAGGAGTCCCATGTGATTAAGGGATGCTTTTGTCTTTCAAAACAAGTCTATTTCTAGGTTGGAAAGTATGGGAGAATCACCTGCACAGAACTGAAAGGGGAACTGCAAAACGTTTTAGATTTCGGCGGTTAGAAAGAATCGGCATTGATGAATGCATTTCAAACCACAAAGAAAGTAAAATGCACACAGTAACTTGTAAAACCTCCAATTTACATCACAAAGTAGAGTCAATTTCCAAGTCCGCGCAGCGCCGTATTCTGCAATTCAGAACGAGGCAACAAAAATTCTGGTGAGGTGATGCGGTGCTATTGCACTGTCAAGAAGCAGGTTTGTGAATACCTCTCCCTTAATCCAATAAAAATATTGGTCTCGATTTCGAGATGGTTTTGCAGCACAACCTGTTCTTATTCACTCATACATCGCCTTACGTTAGTCATTAATCGTGACTAGTGAGCAGGAAGGGCTGCTTCATGTCACAATTCTTGCAAACTCTCACTCTTGCCTATGATAAGACCGGAGGATTGTGACAACATGGCAACCTACAATACTTTCAGAAAGTTCACGATTTTATGCCAATTTAAAATTTATACAAATTTTCTATACCGTCAATTAATTTATTTTGTTGCCAAGATATAATAACTGGTCTGAGAAACTGGGCCTGCAGTTCCCTAGTAATGCCAGTAGCTGAGAGTAATTTTCTCCAATAATTTTCATTTGTGCTATACAGTAGTAGTAGTATATCAAGGTACAGTACACTGTACCCGCTGATATTCTTTGGGATTAGGAACTAGAAAGTCATGCCATACTGTATAGCAAAAAATGACATATTTAGGAGAACTTTGTCCTATGAGAACAACAAAAATATGAAGCTTATGGGACCATAAGAGCATAAATTTGCCCTTGTGACTAAAGGTTTTCCTTTAAGAATTAATGGAGTCGGGTTAGGCATCATAAATTAGATTGAGTATGTGTTTCCCATTATATATCCAGGTTGCATTCCTAAGTAATGCAACTTACAGCTAATTGAATTAGAAAGGGGATTTAATATTCATAAAGAGCAATGCAATTATCTTGAGATACGTTCTGAACATACCATTATGACATTGTTATATACGTTCAATGTACCTATAACCAGTAAAAAAATAAACGTTGATAGTATCACCAGCTCCTTTTGACTTGTGGTCTCATTCACTGCTTCAAGATAGATATTTTCCACACACAGTTCATACTGTACATCCATAGCTAGCAATCACACCTTGATCCATTGTTGGATCAGCAACATAATGCGTGGTGGTAAGAACTCAACTTTAATATTGAGATATAACAATTCAAGTCATGTGTAACAGCAGTGTCTTGAAGGAGAATTCTTAATGTTAAATTTTGCTCTTAATATTTTCTTTTCATTTCTAGAACAAAATAATCTATAAATCACCTGTGTTCCCGGCTTTTGGTACATTTGGTTAATACATTCTTTTGGTAAAGATAAAAGTGAAGGGAAAATGCTATATATATACAGGACCATCTGAACCACAAAGATATTTTAAATATATAGAGATCAGTCAGCCTGCAATTAGATGCTGTACATCTAATCAATGTGCTGTGCATTAATGTAATGTACTGTGTAGCACCATAATTAAATTTAAAGTAATAAAAAGAGTTATACTAATTTCAGTCTTTCGGTGTTTAACATGTTAGTGCTTAAATAGTACAGGTTACAGTGTTAGTGTTAGTGTAGCTTAAATAGTACAGGTTACAGTGTGTGTGTATTTGTATATTCTATGCTCTGTACAAGTAATTTTTTTAGAGGTTACATTTAGAGGTCGGTTTAGAAAAGAAATGTATTAAATCTAACAAACAAATCAAGCTGATGAGGAATTAAGGTATTTGAAAAACTTTGTTTCTAATTATATGTTGGACAATCATTGATATATTTACACTGTGTGTAGTTTAAATGCAAAAAAACCTGAAACTGTAGGAGAGAATGTTTTGGGAATGTATCCACTAGATGGCACTGTGAACTTGTCAGATAAGTTCATATTTGAGAGTCAAGCTGCAAGCCAGATGTGGGGAACACGTAAACAGCCAGAGGTTTCAAAAAAACACAGGAGGCAAAAGATAAATAGATAAAAAAGAACAAATTGTTTTTTTTGTTTAAAAGAAATCTTCCTTTGCAACAGCAATTTGACATTCAAAACAATGTCCTTCAGCAGTCAGAATTTACTGAAACTACATCAAACGTCAAATAAAGTGATATTTTCTAATGCTTTGGTAGACCTAAAAATAGTTGGGAATGAATACCTTGATTATAAACTAAATAAAACCATACAGAAATCAAAGCTTTTGAATTCTGTAAAATTGAACTCTATGCTCTTATAACAAGGGCATGTACAGTATCAACTGTCTTTTACATTACATAACCATAGAGAATTTTGGCTCTAGAGTTGCATGAGAATACTTGAACAGT